CACAGAGGCTCTGCAGCTGCAGAGACCCCCTCAGCTCCGCTACCTGCCACGGTCAGAACCCATTTGGGTTCCCCCAGTACCGTGCTTCTCACTTTGTGCTTTGTTATATCTTATCGGTTTATCAGGTGCCACTCCTGGGGCTTCTGCCCAGGGCCCGGGCGCTGCCTATAGCTGTTCTTGCGTCAAGCTGGCTCTCTCCCGCCTGAAGCAGCTCCATGTCTGGCTTTTGGTGGTTAATTGGATAGGAGTCTCTGGATCCCTGTGGCTCCGTCTGGGGTATGGCTGTCCAGGCGGGGCGGTGTCTGTGTGGCTGTGGCTGTGAGCGGGCCTGGAGTCTGGTCGCCTTGGGCGGCTGGGCTGGGCCGCTGACGGCCACTGGCTGGCGCGGGGTGGGGAGAGGGCTTGGGTCCTCCTGGCGGGGTGTGGGATGGGGGCCGGCGCGTGGCCCTGGCTGCTGAGCTGTGGCTGCAGGATGGGCCCCTGGGCCTCTGGTGACAAATCTCTTTCACCATCTCCTGACCCAGACAATTAATTGCTTCTGTCGATCGATGGATCCATGGTGGCCCGGCTAGCTGCTGCCCTGGCCCAGCCAGCAGAGCCCGGGGCTGAGGCTGGTGGGGGTATTGCTGGGGGGGGGGTTTCCTGCCTCTTGGGAGATGGGGGATGGGAGGGCAGGGAAGGGGAGGGGGAGAGAAGGAGGGGAAGTTGGGGGCCTGGGTGAGACCCGGGTGACCGGGAATGAAGGGCTTAGCACTGTGCTGGACAGACAGGTGGACAGGCAGATGGCGTCTCCGGGCTGCCTGGGCCTCTGCAGGCTCTGGGCCTGGCCGGCGCTTGGCTGTGAGCCAGGCCGCTGCGACTAGCGCACCTTCCGCCCGCCAGCGGTCGATACCGCTCCTCCTGGCCTCTAACTGCCCTGGTGGGGCTGCTGCCGGCTCACAGATGGCCAGTGGCGCAGGTGGAGATGGCGCTCAGGAGGGTCTGGGACACGGTGTGCGAGCAGAGGACAGGCCCGGGGCAGCAGGCCTTAGCCCAGTCTCCCCGCCGTGGCTGGCTGTGTGGGGTGCTTCGGCCTCCTGGGGGCTCATCTGTGTTGGTGCGGTGGGTGTGGTGGAGACCAGGGCCAGGCCGTGAGCGTCCGCAGGCTGCTCTAACAGTCCCGGTGCCCGTCCTGATTATGGTTTGTTTGTTTGTTTTTTGGGCCTGTCCTTGAACTCTGGGTCTGGGCGCTGTCCCTCAGCTCTTCAGCTCAAGGCTAGCGCTCTACCACTTGAGCCACAGCGCCACTTCTAGCTTTTTCTGCTATGTGGTGCCGAGGAATGCATGCAAGGCAAGCACTCTACCACTGAGCCACCTTCCCAGCGCTACTTCGGGCTTTTTTGAGTAGTTTATTAGGTCCCATGAAGTTTCCTGCTTAAGCTGGCTTTGAACCACAACTCTCAGGTCTCAGCCTCCTGAGTGGCTAGGATTACAGGTGTGAGCCACCAGCGCCCAGCTTGTTGGGTTTTTAAGACAGATCTTGCTTTGTAGTCCAGGCTGACCTCAGCCTCACGTCTTCCTGCCTCTGCCTCCTGAATCGGAGTGTCAGCGGCTGCCAGGCGGCCCCTCCCGCGGCCCGGCCGGTGACATGTCCCCGTCACGGTGGCTCTCTCGCGGAGGCCCTGTGTGTCGGGACCTGGACCGGTGTCAGGTTGGGCTCTGAACTCGAGTGCGGTGCCGTCTGTGGTCTGCCTGGCATCCCCTTCCCATGACCATCCCAGAGCCCCTTCCTGTCCCCGGGGACTTGGGTGGGTGCTCCCGGCAGCTGGGTCAGATGACCTGTGAACGCCCCCCATGGGGAGAGGGGGCTGCAGGTGGACTTTTCTGGGGCCCTGGGGGGAGAGGGAGCTGTGTCAGCTGGCTGGGGACCCCTGGCTGTGCGTCTGCACTGAGGCCACGTGTCCTCGCTGGGCAGAAGGGCTGACCCCTGGGGGACGCAGTGTCCCTCTCTCCCCCTCCCAGGACGCCTTGGCGTCACCTGTGCCTAGTGAGGCCCTGCCTCTGCCTGGCGTGGCTCCTCGTCCTCCGCAGGCCATCTAGGGCTGTCCTTGCCCTCGGGTGCTCATTTACCCAGTCCCGGTGGTCTGTGTCCTCGGTCCCTGTCCTCATTCCTGCTGCTTGGCCACCAGCTTGTGTCCCCTCCCCCCTCCTTGTTCAAGTCCCTCCTCCGCCCGAGGCCCTGAGCGGCTCCTTGCTCTGGGCCTCCCCAGTGCAGGCCCCAGCTGCCCGGGCTCCCAGTCTGTCCCCTGCCTTTCCCCTGGGGCCCTGCTGAGTTCCTAGGTGGGGCTCGCGTGCCGGGGTGCGGAGTCGGGATGCCCCACACTGGCTCCTCCAGCATCTGCAGGATTCGGGCCGGTCAGCAGGCCTCGGCGGCGGGGGAGGGGGTGTGTGTGTGACCGGCAGAGGGCGGCTGGACCCCAGCTGCTCCTGGGGTGAGTGCACTCCCCAAGACGGGGCTCTGTCTGTCCATTACGGACAGGCGGCAGGTGGCCGGCCGCCCAGGCCTCGGGAGCCCGGCCCGCCTCCCTGTCAGCCTTCCTGCAGGGCCGGTCTCGCAGGACCCAGGGGCACATGGATGGGAAAACACACAACGCCGAGAGGAAAGGGGAGAGGAGGGCAGGGCAGGGAAGAAGCCACCAGACCCTCCCCGTGCGCCCCTGCCGCCCCACCCCTTCGAGCCTGGGCTGGGCGGGCAGAGGCCAGCTCTGCCCCTCAGCCTGGCCGCTGGGCCGGGGCGGGATGGCCAGAGCTTCCAGAGGGTCGTGGTGGCCGGGCTCAGCGGCACCCCCTCCAGTAGCTCTGCGGCGGCCTGCCCCACGCAAGGGCGGAGCAGAGGCCAGACTGGAGCCTGGGCGCCTGGCCCCAGGGTCCTCACGGACATGGCTGCCCCAGCCCCTGACACCGTGCACACGCGAAGGACTTCTCTCTCTTTTTAGTTCCTTTTTCCTTTTCTTGTTTTCACGCCAGTCCTGGGGCTCTAACTCAGCACCTGGGCACTGACCCTGAGCCTCTGCTCAAAGCGAGTGCTCTACCCCCTGAGCCACAGCGCCACTTCCGGTTCTTTTGGTGGTTAACTGGAGATAAAGCATCTCATGGACTTCTGTTCATGCTGGCTTTGAACTCAGAACCTCAGCTCTCAGTCTCTAGGTAGCAAGGACTACAGGTGTGAGATGCTGGTCCAGTTCCTTGACAGGCACTTGAGGTGTGTGAGGGCCCGGGTCTCTAGGATGACTTGGAGGAATCCTCTTGGTTTCGAGGTTAGGATGAGGGGAGGAGAGCCTGCCTCCACCCCACCCCCCCCCCCCCGTCTCCATTGTCCTGAGTCACTGGCCAGGCGGGGAGTGGCAGGCGGGGTGGTAGAGGGAACCTGTCTTGGTGGGGAGGGGCCAGCACCCAGCATCTGCAGGGTCACGCCCTTGGCATTGTTGACTCCCACCTTTCCCAGATCCTGTGCGCAGGGCTGGGGTGCAGAGCCTGGGGTTCCTCGGGGCGCGCCCCGTGTGCTCACCCTGTGCTCTGAGCAGCGCGGGTCGGCCGTGGGGATCCTCGAGCGTGGAGGCCGTGGGTAAAGGCAGTCTCGGTGTGGCTGGGATTTCCTGTCCGCCATCCCGCACAGTGCGCTGCTCGTGGGAGCCAGTGGTGGCGGAGCTTTCTGGGAAGGTTGTGTGTGGTGCTTCTGCGCCAGCCCCGCCCTGGGCCCTGTCCCCACCCGTCTTATAGGTACCGCGCTCTAACCGATTGCGCCACTGGAGCTGCAGCCCACCCGTAACATCTGACTGCGGCACACCACCGGCCGCCGGGGCCTCTGTGGCCTCTGGTTGTCACTGCGTTTTGTCCTCACTGCGGACCTGAGTGCATTGCATTGACCAGGTGTGCGTGACAGGTCGGGTTTCGGGCTCTTGTGGTCCTCTGTCCGGTGGGTGTGGTTGTCACTGTCACCTGTGGCTGCGTAGGTGACCTGGAGGTTCTTTGGTTTTATTTGGATGCACGGCATTTGAACTCGGGTTTTCGTGCTTGCTAGATAGGTGCTCTTCCTGCAGAACACGCCCCCAGCCCTGTTTTTTTTTCTTTTTTGGTCAGTCTTGGGCTTGAACTCTGGGCCTGGGCACTGTCCCTGCGCTCTTCAGCTCAAGGTGAGTGCGCTACCGCTTGAGCCACAACGCCACTTCCAGTTTTCTAGTAGTTTATTGGAGATAAAAGTCTCACGGACTTTCCTACCCGGGCTGGCTTTGACCTGCGATCCTAAGATCTCAGCCTCCTGAGTAGCTAGGATGACAGGCGTGAGCCACCGGCGCCCGGCCGGCCCTGGTTTTTGTGCCCCTTTCTGAGCTAGGGTCACGCACAGCCCACCTGTGTTCACTTCCCAGTAGCTAGGAAAGCAGGTGGGCACCGCGGCATGCAGGGCTTAGGGGTGTCTGAAGGCTGGGCTGTCTGTGACCGGTGGCCAAGCCCCTGAGGACTGCAGGCGTGAGCCCCGGTGCCCAGCTGGGTGTGCGGAACGTGCATGAGGCAGGGGTGTCCAGAGCGTGCCGGCCAGGGGTCGTCTGGGGAGGATCGTAGAGGCCTGGTGGTGTGGGTTTCGGAGTCTGGCTCCGGGGTGATGGCGGGACCCCCCCGGCCTGTGGGCTGGGCGGGCGGGGTGATGGCGGGACCCCCCAGCCTGTGGGCTGGGCGGGCGGGGTGATGGCGGGTCCCCCCGGCCTGTGGGCTGGGCGGGCGGGGTGATGGCGGGACCCCCCCCCCGGCCTGTGGGCTGGGCGGCCGGGGTGATGGCGGGACCCCCCCCCCGGCCTGTGGGCTGGGCGGCCGGGGTGATGGCGGGACCCCCCCCCGGCCTGTGGGCTGGGCGGCCGGGGTGATGGCGGGACCCCCCCCCGGCCTGTGGGCTGGGCGGGCGGGCCGCACCCTGTGCACCTGCGCCGCGTTTAGTAACACAGCCCTGTGCTCTCCTGCAGGTCTCCCCACGGCTCTGAGGACACCGCCTTGCTGGCGGCAGCCTCCGGTAGGTGCATGTCTGTCCCCGGCCTGGTCCTGGGACCGTCCTGGAGGGGGTCGGGAGGGGGTCTGGGGCTGGCGTAGCCCCGTGGCAGCGGTCCCGGGCTGCCACAGCACAGGTTTCACCCTCGCTTTGTTGCGTGTTTTTTTCTGAAGCACCGACTGCGTGCTGGGCTGGGCTGGGCGCTGGAGAGGACACCGCGGGCGTGGACGGCCTCCTGTCCTCACGGGCAGAGGCCCGGGGTGCTGGAGGGCACGGGGTGGGCCTCCTGGGGAAGATGGCGCTGGAGCCAAGCCCTGAGGAGGGGCCGGGTGAGGGAGGGGGTGCGGGCAGAGGGCACCGCCCGTGCAGAGACCCTGAGGTGGCGTGTGGGGCTCCTGTCCACAGATCTCACTGTCCGGCCGCATCTCTTTGTCCTGAGCTTTCGGGGACCTCCGTGGCACGGCTGGGGGGGGGTCGGGCCTCCAGGCCTCTGTTTTCATGTCGCAGCCACGGTCGTGGTGGCTGCTCTGGGGGTGGGGGGGCTGCGTGGGGGGCTGGGCATCTGCCCAGCCCACGGCCTGCACCTTGGGCACATCTCTCCCCCGGCCCCCTCGTCCCCCTCCCACCCACCGTGCCCCCATTCAGCGTTTCTGCCCACCACGCCAGACGATGAAGGGCGCCTGGCCTCCTCCCCCGCTGTTCTGCAGGCCCAGAGGAGACAGACGGGGGCCCCCGCTCCCTCCTGGGAGGCCCCTGGGGTGGGACCCGAGGCCCAAGACAAGGCCCGCGGGGGCCAGGAGGGGCACGGGCACAGCTGCTGCCCCGTCCTCCCAGAACAGCTCTGGGCCTCGGTGGGGCCGCGGGTGCAGCAGCGGGGGCCTGGGCAGGGCTGGGGCTCCCTGTCCCCCCGGCGGTGGACGGGCGTGGGGCGGGGGTCTCGTTGCCTGCTCGGGACACGCTCCCTGTCTCCCCCTCCGTGGGGCACCTCAGATGCAGCAAGTGGTGCTGGGCTGGCGGTGCGGCCCGGCTCTGCGCAGGCCCAGGCCCTCTCCCCCGCGCGGCACCCTGGCCGTGCGGGGACACGGAGCCCCAGCCCCGCTGCGCCCCCCTCCCTCTGCTGGGTGCGGCCCTGGCAGCCCCAGCGCCTGGGCTTCTCCCCATCCTCCCAGGAGGCGTCGGGCAGCAGGCAGCAGCGAGGTGACCGGCCGCAGCCTGCGGCCCAGAGACAGCGCCCAGCCGGTCTTCCCGGCCGTGGAGCGGCTGCCAATGGCACACGTGCCCGTCCTCGTCCACCTAGTGGTGGTACGAAGCGTATTCTGTCCGGCCTGGACCCTGGACCGCGCAGTGGGCTGGGACTCCCCTCCCCCGGGAGGCCAGGGCTGGAGTGGCTGTCTGTCTGTGGGCAAACCTGGGGCCCGGCCCGCCTGCCCCACCCGCTCTGGAGTTGGGGATCCTGAGCTAGTGGGGTGCGCACCCAGCCCTGGAGAGCAATGTCAGGCCAAGGCTCCCCAAGAGTCCCTGGCTCAGCTGGGTTGAACCTTCCTGAACTTTGGGGGGCACAAGGTGGGGCGGGGCTCCTCCTGAGCCGGAGGGGTGTCAGCTGAGATGGCTTTTCAGGGAGGGAGGCTCACAAGTTAAATAAGCAATCCGTAAATGAGTAATGGACTGAGGGGCGCCGCCTTACGTCCACGTGGCCGCTGGGGATGGGTGCCCGCTGGGTAATTGCGCTTGTTTTTTTTTTTTTGTCAGTCGTGGGGCTTGAACTCTGGGCCTGGGCGCTGTCCCTCAGCTCTTCAGCTCAAGGCGAGTGCTCTGCCACTTGAGCTACAGCGCCACTTCTGGTTTTCTGGTGGTGTATTGAAGATAAGGGTTTCACGATCCTCAGATCTCAGCCTCCTGAGAAGCTAGGATTACAGGTGTGAGCTATTGGCGCCTGGCTCGCACTTGCTTTTAATCACATCCAACCTGTCTCCTCCGTCCGACACAGCCTCTCCCCCTTCCCAGCTGTGGGGGGGGCAGCGAGCGGAGCCCAGGGGGGAGGGCTGCCACAGGACGCTGCCTGCAGCCGTGTTCCTGGTTGATGTGCACCTTCTCATCACCCCTCCACAAGGGGAAACTGAGGCAAGGAGTTCTGGGGTCCTGCCTGTGGTTCCACGGCTGGTGAGATTTGGTCACAGGACTGTGGTTACAGGACGTTGTCCTAGGGAATGTCACGAGCGTGGTCCCCATGCTGGCCCCGGAGGTGGACGCAGGGTGACCGGAGGTGGCCTCAGGTACCCGGCTCCCATCTTCACAGAAGCTGTCCTGGCTCGTGATAAGGAAGGTGCCGATTGCGTCCCCTCTCCGCCCTGCCCCGCCCCACGTGTCCATCTGGTCTGGTCGGGCCGGTGCAGGTAGTGAGGCTGCGCAGTGCGGGAGGCCAAGCCGCGGGGTCTGCGGGCAGCACACAGCCATGCGGCCCTGACGGCCCGAGCCACGGTGTCTGCGGGCAGCACACAGCCACATGACCTTGAGGGCCTGCTGCCCTCATCTGCGGGCGCCTCCTGGGGTGCCTTGCTCTCGCTGTAGCGGGCAGGTGACAGCACCCCTGGGAAGGGCTGTTGGACTGGAGGGAGGGGCTGCTGGGGGAACTGGGGTGAAGGTCCGGCCTGGAGGAGGAGGTGGTGGCGGCAAAGGGCCTACGCCTGGCCTGTCACCCGCACCCCAGAGGGCCCCCAGGCCCCCAGCGCTGTGTCCGGCTTTGTGGGAGGGAGGCTGAGACTGCTTGCGGGGCGCACAGCTGGCACTCTGCAGGGGCTTGCGTGGCACCACCCACAGCCGTCCGTGGTGTGCTAGTCAGGGCTGCCGCCGGCCGGCTCTGCCTGCAGCTGCCGGTGGGGCTCCCTGGGCCTCCGGTGTGCCCGGCCTCCTGTGGACAGGGAGACCTCTCCGCCGGCCTCCGGCGGGTCGCAGTGGCAACGTGCCAGCCCCGCCTGCTCACGGGTGGCGGTGGGCAGTGCGAAGACCCCAAGCGCAAAGCCAGAAGCCCACTGCTGGGGGAAGTAAGTGGAGGGGGCGCTCAGGCCACTCTGGTGTGGGGAGGACTTTCGTGACTTTAGATGAGGGAATTGCAAAGAGCCTCTGAGGAGGCATCTGAGCTGGGTCAGGAAGAATTGAAGGCATAGTTAGGGACCCAGCGGGTGCAAAGGCCCTGGGGCCATCATGGTTCAGGAGCATAGCTGGAGCAGAGCCCAGCCTGATGTGCTTCCAGGGTGGGCACCCTGGGGCCCTGACTCTTGGTGACTTAGGTCAGAAACCCAGGGTGAAGACTTACCCTTTTCTTACATCCTTGTCTTAGCGGCTCATTTACATTTACCGTCAACAGCATGCGCTGGATATTTACTCAGAACAACAGAGCAGTCCAGGAGAGCTTGGAGCCCGCGCACGGTGCCATCCCTGGAAGGGTGCTGAGGGCAGGGCCTGTGTGCCGGGGCTGGGATGTGTCCCTGAGGCCCGAGGCTGAGTGGATTAGGAGTCAGAGACACTGCGGCCTGGTCTGGCCACAGACAAACGGTAGAAAGTCAGGGCAGGACAAGTTCAGGCGCAGCTGCTCCAGGAGCACCCACACCAGAGCACGCCCTGGAGCTGACTGACAGCGGCTTCCTTCTGTGGGACTGGTGCTCGCGCAGGCCCGCCACGGGGCTGGGGGCAGCACTGGAACCCTGGACTCGCGCCGTCACTGGTCTGACCACTGACTGCGGCAGCCTTCGTCACTCCCGGCAGCAGGGGGTGGCCCACGTGGGGCAGGGACGGCGTCCGGAGCGCGTGGGAGGCGGTGCGGACAGGAGAGAGGGCACCGTGGTGCCAAGCGGCGTGCTGGCTATTTTCCTTTTCTTTCCAAGAAAAGCTGGAAATAAGAATTTTGTAGGCCTGGCGCTGGTTGCTCCCGCCTGTCATCCTGGCTACTCAGGAGGCTGAGCTCTGAGGATCTCGGTTCAAAGCCAGCCCGGGCAGCAAAGCTCGTAAGACTTGAATCTCCAAGTAATTAACAGAAGAGGCTAAAGTGGAGCTGCAGCTCGAGTGGTGGAGCGCTACCCTTGAGCGCAGAAGCTCAGGGACGGCGTCCAGGCCCTGAGCTCTAACCCCAGGACCGGCCGTCCTGGGAAGGGGTATCTGGCACCCGGAGACTCCATTTCTGAAGGTCAGGGCGGTGGCTCAGTTGCTGGCACACGGCTGCCATGGCTGGGGGAGGGGGGTGCTGGTCAGTGCTCCAGGTTCAAACCCTGACTCGGATGCTGCCTCCCATGTGGCGCTTGGCTGTGGCTCTCCGTTGCTTCACGCCTCAGTTTCTCGGTCTGTTACCCAGGGGTACCCACCTCCGGGCCGTTGCTCGGGCCGGCTGGGCGCCCCAGGACCCTCCGCGCTGCCATCCCTACCCCGCACCTCGCGGGGTCATCACGCCGCGGCCCCATGCTGTGGGAACTGAAGTGGGTCCAGAGTGAGCAGTTGGCTGTGCCAGTTGCCGGGCACAGCCGCTGCTCCCAGGGCCTCGGAGAGGATGCAGGCCGCGCCCCAGTGGGTCCCCGGTGGGGTGCCCTGTCCTGGGCTTCCCGCCGCTGTGGGGAGGCCCGGGGAGGGGGCAGCTTTTGCACTGTGGGGGTGCGACACTGGGCTGGCCATACGTGATGGGGTGTCGGGGGAGAGGAGGCCAGGCCTGACCCCGGTGACAGTTCTCAGAAGAGATGGTGGCGGAAAGCTACTACTGGGGCTGACGCGCAGGGAGCCCCTCCTTCCTGGGGTACTGTTGTGGGGGGCTGGGGAACAAGAGCAGGGAGCTGGTGGGGTTCTTGGTAACTGACCGCTGCAGCCTGTCCTGTGGTGTGAGCGCACTGAGGCTGACTCCTTTGGTGCTTCGCTTTGCCAGTGCATACAGTAGGAGCTAAATGTGTGCATGTTTCCTGTAAAGCAGCTCTGGGCCGCGTTCCGGGAGGCGGGTGCATTAGCACCATCCTGTGCTGTGTGGCGGGGAGGCCCCCACGAACCCA